TCTGCGGAGGTTACTTAAAGGGCAGGCGAATGTTGAGTTCGGTCTGATTCATCTGGAGCGAGGCAATCAGCGCGGTTTGTCCGCAATATCCGAGGCGCAACATTCAAACAAACACATTTTCGTCATTCGGCCTATTTGAAAGAGAACACACTCGTAATCAGATGCAAACCTTAGGCAAAAGAAAAAAAAAAAGAAAAATGAAACAAGTCCCGTGGAACATCTAAGTTCGTTCAGCGACTGGGAAGCGTTCATGCAGAGTCTGTTTGTCTGGCAACGAACGCGACGGCTCTCGAATTTACTACAGTGTGACGAGAAACGTAGGATTAAAGGGTATTGGTAAGGACAGTCTTCGGATTTAAAAAAACAAACAAAAAAACAAGGAACACATTTTCACCGGATTACGAAAGCATAATTTTCATGGTTTGAATAATTGGGGAGCAGCTGCATTTGATCGAGACCGTCTGTAATTGTAAACGCGACACAAGGATCACACATAAAAAAACGGATGACAAAGACAGCGAAATAAGATAATTAGTTCCGTATCGCATCGTCCTGCACCGCCGCCTCCTGCTTCTTACAGTATTTTTGAAAACCGAGCGTGTTGGTAAGGTTCAATTTACACACTGAAGAAATAGGACGGAGCACAGACGACGACATCTTACAATTTTTTTTAAAGATGTCGTGTTCTATATTTTATCCTATTTGTTTATTCTTTCGTGTGTGAATTCTTAAAGCAGTTTATGCTTCATTATTCTGCCCAATTCTTGCGGTGCTTTGTTGTTCAAAACGCGCTCTCGACTGTATTTATTTATAGCGCGCTGCGGTGCATAGAAACAAAAAATCGATCGTTAATAACCTACTCATAGATTTAAAAAAAATATATATGTACGGCACGTCTATTCAGTGTATTGTTTGCGAGGTATCATAGGCTACTATTTTCAGAAAACAGTTCGGTCCTGGACTATTTCTACATACTTAAAACGTTTCTTTTTTTTTTCCTCTTGTTCTGAAAGATAGGATTACGGTGGCGGCAAAATGTTTACTTGGGGACAAAATTTTCTTTACAATGTAAAAACGCCCCCCCCCCCCCCCCCCCCCCACACACACACACGGTCGCACTCACACATTGGGTGTCCATCGGCGTGCGCTGGTCCGCCGATTCCTTAAAAAGGAGATTATTCTGGAGGCATTTTAAGTGCCCGTGTAATAGGGGCACAAGCTGCTTTCATACGCACCCTAAATGACGAGTTTTTTTTCAATTAAATACTTTAACTAAAACCTTTCAAATGGGGCCACTCGTGAACAAGTTTTGAAACGATGTTTCTTTACGCTTATATTACAGAAGGCCTCGACGTTGAATGCTGTGATAGTGCCACGGTCTCACGAATGCTGTAATCGCCTTCACCGTTGTACGTCGTTGTGGTGTTCGAAATATCGTGGTTCGCGTACTTTACCCACTTCGTGTAACATCACGGTATTTAGCGTCGAGGCCTCGCGTTGTGGGAGGCGTTGGAACAAGCAACGTGTTCGTTGCCTTCATTCCTGCCGAATAGGGCGGGTCGGTGTTCACGTACAACAAAAGATTCCCTGAAGATTGCTTCCTCCTACGTCGCTGAGCGCGCGGGAATTCCGATGTTTTTTTTAAAGGGATGGCTGGATGCTATAGAAGGAGGAGGAGGACCCGACATTAGCATTTCAGATTGAAGATCAACGAGCCAGGCTTGTTCCTCGTCTTGAAACTCGAACGCAGCAGCTTCTGGGCAGCTTTAACGAGCGGCGCCCTCTGGCATGCGTCGAGCGAGCCGATAGGATAATCAAAAGGGAGTTACGCATCCGTCGCTCTTTCTCCGTGTTTGCGAGACGCCGCGTCTCTATTTCCAGCAGAGCAGCGTGTGATGGACGTGACAACTATAAGGGCTCGCGTCTTGCCTAATAGGTGCGGAAGTTCATCTTTCTTTTAGGTAAAAGAAAAAAAAAAGGAACACGTTGAAACCACGATTTGGTTGTTAAACTCTACTTTTCTTTTTTATCTGTCTGTATATTGTGAGGATGTTGTACACTTCGTGGTCGTCACCAAATATTTAGCTCATGAAACGGTGAGCATCATCATTATGTTGGTTTTGCGAACGAAAGCGGTGGCTCTTGCGCTGGTGACGGACCAATGGCGGCCAGGATTAAATCTTTTGCTCTCTGCCACCCTCGCACCCTGCTTCGCCACCCTGCTTCGCCGCCTGATTTGTTTCGCGACAGAAATTGATCAAACAATGCCTCTATTCGATAAAGGTGGAAACAGCTTCAATAATGGCGAGTGAAAGTAAAACGAGACGTGCAGTTCGGGCACTATAGGCCTTCGCTTTGAATTCCTTCATAGAATCGGGATCAGATCGCGATCCCGACCTTACTCGTGCAGCTGGGCATGCGCTGATACGCGGATTCTGTAAAGGCTTTCGGTCTGAAGGACCCTAGAATTAATGTGAAACAGGCTTGTTATCAATGTGTAACTATCGTACAAATACCCAAGTGTAGGAATCGGATTACATAACGCTTATTCTCAATAAATAATAGATGGAAGCCGGTCAGATGATCGTTCGCATACACCCCTCCGTTGCACATTTCACTCTTTTACCGAGTGCCTTCTCACTCCGACGTTTACGCGAACAAAACTTTTCTTTGTTGTTGCGCGGGTAGGAGCTTCGAACGCGGAATTGTAGAACACGCATTCCGAGATATCAATAATTCAGTGTATGTAGACACGTGTATCCTGTACGCATTAAAATTGCCACCATCCAAAACCAAGCGCACGCGCGGAGTTCATAAGGGCTATATGATAGTCGTTGGCTTTAGCTTGATATGCTATTATGTCGGATACACTGCGCCCATCCAAGCAGCCGAAGACACAATACTAATACCCTTGTTACACGGGCACACTTAACTGCAGTTACGCTAAGCCACAGTTAGCGCACAATATTTGCGGACAACATTCTGAGGCTATGCAGTCAAAGCTATGGGAGAACGTGCGCTCGAGCATCTTGAGCACCCATCAAAGCAGTGCACTCGCGCCCTTCACATCTTCTGAAATAGTTGTCCGAGAGTATAGTGTGGTATCTGTGGTGCCGCGCAACAGCAGTTAAGCTGAGTTAACCGCGGTTAAGTGTGCCCGTGTAACAGGGGTATAGGAGTGCACGAGATTATGCGGGATTGGAGTTGTTAACGTTATGTACTGCACAGCGTGACACATCTTGTACAAAAACGCGATCGATGGAGTTTTCCTTTTTCCTCGGAAAATTGAAAAAGCCGTCATCAAAACTACTTGTGTGGTGGAGAGTGCTTGTTCGGAACCCCTTTAAAAGCACTCTCCACCTCGTATTATGAAGATGTAAAAAAACAGCCGATGTAGTGTTCGAGCTAACATTGTCGCGTAGTGTACACTCTGAACAACGTCCAAAGGTACACAAACGTACTCACTCAAGAACAATTATACACGTACAAACATGCACGTATACAAAAAAACCCACACACAAAGAAAAAAAAAAAGTTAAACCCATCATTTTTAGCGGAAGTCGGGGCAGCCTTCTCGGAGCGCACTCGTGACTGACCGGGATCTCTCATCCATGCGCGCGCAATTGAGCCGCTAAACATTTGCAGCCTTTGATCAATAAAGAAGACAAGCCCCGCCCCCCCCCCCCCCCCTTTTCTTCCTTCCCAAAAGCAAAACTGGCTCAAACACAACAACATCCGCCATCATTACTCGGCCTCCAAAGACATCGGAGACACATTGTTCCACGTCCACGGGACAAACGAAAGCTAATCGACACCAAAAGCATTCCGTCGTTGCTTGCCGCGGGAGTATGGACGACGAAACACGATAACTGCATTAGGGCCGCACGGCACGGCTCACTCCGTGAGTCCCGGCACCTCCCCCCTCCACTCCGCACGAAAGCGAACCGACGTCGAAAGTTTCGCGCCCATAACCGAGTCGCGTTTTCGGTCCATCGTCGAGCGAGTGGGGCTCCACTCGGCGCTGAACATCCGGCCTTCTATGGGCGCTCGCAAGCCGAGGAGGATGGCAGACTTCCGTTCTAGGGCGCTGCGGCTTCGAAAGATGCGCAGTGTGTGTACGCGCAGAGTCGGTCGTATTGGGGACACCCCAAAACGGGTTTCCTTTTTGAAATTTGCTTCTTTCTTTCTCCGTCGATACCTATGGCCCGCTCGACTTCAGACTATATATCCACTAAATTTGGACGCTCCGAGAGCCTGACAGCCGGGAGACCATTAGGTCTGACAGCCACCGCGAAAAAAACGCTGGCCTGGAAGTTTTACCAAGGATCGGCGAGATTTCTGAAATTTGAGGTTTGGCGTCCCAACTTCCCGAGTCGATTGACTGATTTGGCGAAGTTTGAATTTTCAAATCGGATTGGTAAGAAATCCGACACCACACCATTCAAAAGCTTTAGACAATTAGTGTTGTTAGAGAAATCTCAAATGAAACGCTTTAGAAATGTCCCAGCTGAGTTCTCTCAGGAGGAACATAATTCACACTTTTGAAGGGCGGTTCGTGTGGAATCAGGTCCCCATACTATGATGCATAAATCTTTCATCTGAATTTCATTAGCGTTAAAACTAATCAATGTATTGCGCAGTAGCATGTATCAACGAGCACGGCATATCGTAACGGCATGACTATATTTTGAATAGGGACATGAAAACTTAACAAAAATCCACTGCAAAAAAAAAATACCGTTAAGCTTTTTTTTTTTTTGGGGTGGTGCGGTTTTTTAGACAACGCGTTCTAGATCCTTATGGAACGTGCATTTTCATCAAAAGCAAAAACAATTAAAAAAAAGCGAGAAGTACTCTGCTTAGAACAGCGTCCATTCGCACGCCGGTCGCGAACAAAGAGCTACTCCCCATCAGTCGCAATAAAAAAAAAGGGGGGGGGGGGTACGAACGACCAAGCAGTAAGGTCTACCCACAAACCTGTCCCCAAAACTTTGACGTACCTTTGTAGCGAAATGCGTTCGAGCCGGTGCTGCGTCCGCAGCGCTGCGTTACTGCCGAGCACAACGGCTTGACTGTTGCGGCGCATTCCCCGTCCGCTCCGCAGACGTGTTCTCTATTTTCCTTGCCCCTAGTCCCAAAGCCAGTGAACAGGACCAGCTGTGTTTGCGCTTGCCGGCTCGGTTCCGTCCGTCGGCATCGGACGACAGGCGAGCAGCGAGAGGCTTGCTCTCCTCTCTTCGCGTCTCAGCTCGGTCTGTTTGTTGCTTTCTGCCCTGCCTCGTCTCTTTTTCTCGGCCGTTGCCCGAAGCAACTCCACCTCCGACGAGCTGTCCAGGCTCGCAATCAGACTAACTGGACCCTCCTCAAAAAGAATGTTAGAGTCACTAACATAGTTTCTTGTCCCGCAGAGTCGTATCCCTTTCGACGCTCAGGAAAGCTCGGTAATCAGCTCTAGGGCGCCTTATTCTTGTGCCGTCGAACTGGATTTATGTTTGCTACCTTCGGCAGCGGGAACGCCAGAATGAGATACGGTTGCAGAGATTGGATGATGGAAAAGCAGAAGCCGGAGGTATTCCTGACTTGTCTGGTGGACTTGGGAGCCAGTATTTACTTCGTCACGACTTAGTTTTCTTTAGTGCGAAGCTGGCACGCCATCGCTGTCTATCGTTTTTCTTTTCCTCTTGTATAAAGCAATTGATCGGTAAGCCGCCATGCAGGAATATGTCTATAATTTTAATAATTTTAATTGACAAAAAAAAATGAATCGCATTCTTGCGGACAACATTGCGCTGTTTCATGCAATTGACGGACCATAAACCGCTGCGTACAATGTGCGGCACTGTAACACCAACAGGGCAAACATAAAACGTTTACCACTTATAGAGACTATGATTTGTAACAATGGGCCAGTCACGGTAGGCAAGTCAGACTGCTTCACAGTTGTAAATATTTGGAGACGTTGTTTCCGCGGTTATTCGCCCCACGTGCGTATAAAAATACGCTTTGCGAACAGCACCCTTAATGGAAGAATCCGCCCGCCTTTCGGTGTGGTGGCTCTTATGATAACGTTGATTGTCTCGTTGTTCCTCTGACATTTTTCGTTGGTATTTATTTTTAATTTAATTGCCCACTGCAATTTCGCTCGTGTTTCCTCGTTTAGATGGGAATCAGGCTAGACAGGGGAAGATTGAGAGAGTTAAATTTGTGCATTATATAGCACGTACTATATAAAGGGTTCAGCACAACCCCACTCTGTAACGAATGCTTCTTGAATTTTCTAGGCCGTTACAAACAGGCTGGTGCCATAGCGTTCTGGCAACGCGCTCCACCAAATAAAAAGTGGCCATACCTGTCTGCTCAATGACCAGAGGCTCTGCATTTGTTTGTTCGTTTGTTTGTTTATTGGTTTAACCCGGGAGGGTAAGGCAACTGTGAGCGGGCATTACGCTCATACCAAGGAGTCCCCAGTGCCTCTATGGTAGAAAAAGAAAAGAAAAATAATAAATAACTAGAACCGGTACATAGATAAAGGAGCAAGTTCCGTGGGTGAGCACAAATTGAGTTAGATGCCTCGCAAGTGGGCTGTGACGCTCTTCGTAAATGTTCTTATTGAGGCACTGTCGACTGGTGCTGAACTGGTGACTGCAAAGGGGAGGGACCTCCAAAGTTGCACTGCACGGGGTGCGAAGGAGTGCGAGTGACGGAGCGTTCGGGTCAAAAGGGGGTGCAGACCACCGGTGCGGGTACGCCGCAGGGATGAGGCAAAAGGGAAAGAGGAGTCAGCTAGCAGAAAAGTGGCTAGGAGCCGCGTGGTTGCTGCTTGACGCCGAAGTTGAAGTGGGTCCCAACCAACTGAACGGAGGAGATCCCTGGTGTTCAGTTCTCGATAGCATGGTGTTCTGGGGCCTACCGGTGGTAGCCAACAATATATCACAAGAATTATAAGACGATGATGGCTTTGCACTGCCTTGTCAGCGTCCCAAGCTGGTATTAGTCACGCACAAGCACGAGCACACTACATCTTTTGAATGCATCCTTCATATCATGCTAGAAAATGAGAAGAATTAAGAAATCCCGTGGTCTAGCTAGGTAAACACCCTTTCATGCTTTGTGTGCAACGGTGCTAGAGCGAGCGTGCAAATTCACGTATACTCCGTCCACCTTTAAAGGGACCGAACTATTTGCCAAGAACCCTCAGCTGACTTCGGGGCTTAGACAGATCCGTGCTCGAGAACCGAACTAATGGCGATCGCAACGCCGCCATTTCTCCCGCAGCGGCCACTCCGGGAACTACAAGTCTGGACGTATCGGTTCAGATCGATTTGCGCAAGTGCCGGTGGCGCCATCTTGCAGTGCCGTTTCGCAGTATCACTATCAATAAAGTTTCGCGTTTTGACTAGTCGCTAAAGGGTGGCGCTGTTATCATATTTAGTTTGGTCTCAGTGAACTCAAGCGGTCCGTGGTTCAAAGGTGAGTTTCCCAACCAAGCGCTTTAGTAAGGTTGCCTCTTGTGAACTACAGTCATGGCGGCGTCGCGCGTGCGCCGAATGCTTTGCGAGATCGATCTATTAGATGAAGCGCGAAAAGCATAACCTGTAGCAAACACCTTAATTTGGTGTTTCTCAATGCGCTCCACAACTTTTCAATTCACACCTCGACCCTGAAACGAATAATAAATAGTTTGATAATTAGTTCTAATTAATTAAATGACTAGGCGCCCTACAAAAAATGCGTGCAATTTCATTAGACGCTTGCTAACAAGATACAGTTGCTTCCACTCCCGCAGAGCGCTCTGTTTTTTTGTGTTTTTTTTTCAGTTTTGTGCAAGCTTTTGGGGACGCCTATATATGTCCCAATTTAAACAAACCATCATGGTACTCGTCAATGCATTGCCCTATACAGTTCTTCTCCACAGAGAGGTTAATCTTTACTTCTTCAATAGCCAAACCAAGGCTGCGGAACCTGTCCAAGATGCCCCCACTGGTGCAAGCATACATATTAATTCGGGATCTTCGAGCGTGCACACGCAGCCAAAGCATGACGGAAGGCTGAAGCGTGTGCTGGAGGCAGAGCATCCAAAGAAGACTCTTTGCAATCCTTACCCCGTCAGTGACTATTGTCGATTATCATCCCGTGTTTTTGAACCTACTTGTACGGCGTCGTGTTACAGGCGCTGTGGACATCTGATTCGCTCGAGAAAATCGGCGAGCGAACCTGCCGCCGTAGCTTTTTGTTATAGCCGCTTGCCGTCGCTTTCGCAAAAGTCGCCAACATTTGAAATAGCCTCAGGAAAAGGTACCGTCTCATGGAGCGTTTACCCTTCCGGACTACCGGGCGGATCCGCGCAGGCGGAAAATGGATTTTGGAGCCGGGTGGCGAAATCGAGCCGTCGCTGGCGCAATATCTGGATCAGTGGGACCCATATCCAGATTTTCCGTTAGCGAGCAGTCGATTTCGCCACCCGGTTCCAAAATCCACTTTCACCTACACGGATCCGCCCACGAATCCGCAAGTGTAAACGCGCAATTACTGCTCATGCTGCCGAAAAGAGCGGCAGTTGTGACACCGAGCCGTATCTGGAGCATGGATGAATGGACGATGGATGAATACGTCTGAACCCTCTGAATATGGGCAGAGGCTTGCGCAACTAAGCCAGTGTGTTTTTCTTTATATGCAACAGCTAATATGAAAATATAACAAGATTAAGATTCAACCTTTCAACAGTACTATTTCTAAATATTCAGATCTGTGTGACGGAAGCACCTATCACAACCGCAAGTGTAACGAATCGACGGATCGCAAGCGAAAATTATTAAGGCGAAAGCCTTATATGTCTTATCGTTCAGTCGACCTTCAAAGTCCTTGAGCGAAAATACGTCGACGACACGAAGGCGACAAAAACACGCCAAAAGTGCGTCAAAAGTACGTCTTCGGAGGTTCGCTATCACGTTGACATCGGCTCTTGGACTTTCGCCTTCAAGTCGCCTTAGGGATAACGTAAGAGACCCTGTGACTTTTTTCGTCCCTCCATCGACTTATGCCACCAGTCAGACATCCTCTGATTGGTTATCTCGACCTTCTCAAGCTCTGTTCTTAAATCCTAGCCACTCGACTAAATCAGTCTCACCTTAAGCAATCATAATGTATTTTACAATAAACTTTCAAATGCTCAGCTGCGCCATCCTGCTCTCCACACGCTCCAAACAATCTGTTGATCTTATGATATCTAGCTCTGTGCATGTTAGTCAGCAACAGAAAAGAGAAACCTCGAATAACAAGGAGCTTCCCCATTAACAACATACTTGCCTTAGCAATATCCGTTTTGAAGGATGTCTACGTCGTTACTGGTTGATTTAATCGACATACCTGCATTTCAAATCCCTTAATGTTGCCCAAATTTGTTCCTCTCAGTTTCCTCGTATGTTTTTACCATTTTGTGTTGAGACTATAGTTATGCACAAATAGCTGAAATCTCTTCGTGTTTAATACCACTGATTTATTTCCCTCAGTCGATCTTCAAATTTAATCTTACTATACCTGCTTTCGTGCCTTCGAATGATGTCCATCCTATGTTAGCTTGTACACCTTGATTCGGAGTTTTTCCATGTGATCTTGTGAATAGAACAGGAAATCCAAGCATGGCTAGAAACAAAGCGAAGCGAGGTAGGTGGACTATATATATAGGCCGCCTACCTCGCTTCGGTTTGTTACTCGCCATGCTTGGATTTCCTGTTCTATTCACAAGACTGCATTTCCAAAAGTTAGAATAGGCATGGTGAACCTATTCTAACCACTGTTATCACAGCATAGCCGTTGTAGCTGCACAATTCCCTTGTTTTTATTGTAGCTGCGTTTCTGTTGCCATTCATCTTTACGCACTTTTTCGTGCTCTTTGAGGAGGTGTTCTGCACCTCCGTCCACCTCTACTTCCTGGTAGTAAACTTTACCTCTTCCTTAACCACGAATTCTGGCATCTTCAGCTCTTGACCTCCGTCATTGTTAAAATTCATTATTGCCGATTTGCTCCACGGAATTCCAGATCTCACCCATGTCCTTCTGTATAACAGGAGTTATTAATTCCTGCG